AAACAACCCACCGTTGAAAAGCTGAATGTCTACGCTTTAAAATAAATGTAAACCTGAACGTTTTGCTTTAATATTCGTTTCGAAATTTATATTTGAAGCGAGGACTCCGTTTTTTATATACATCGTTATAATGTATATCTGTACATCGGTATACTCCGCAAACGATTGAACTGTAGCCGCCATGTTGCCAAATAAATACAAGCACGTGATCACAGCATGAAATCTGATTGGTTATACTTAAAATTCCACCGATAAAAATCGTATAATATCAAAACGTTTTGATGTTGTCCGATTAAAATCGAGCAACAAAAATCGGTTAAAAATGACACCGCACACACACAACGATTTTGTTAGTTTTAGTCAAACGATTTTTATCGGCCGACTAAAATCGCATCGTGTGCGCCAGGCTTTACTCTCGATTCCAGAATGTAACTAGTTATCGTTACTTTTCATAATTTTTTGTAGCTAGAAACAGTTGCAAATTACTTTCCCAAAAAAGTAGCTAGTCGGTCTACACGATAAAATTAGTCGTATATACGATTCTGGCGTATGTATAGAATAAGCACGCGGAAAGTGGCTGCATTTCAAATCTTGCCATAAACTAAATGAACAGGATTTTCAGTTTCAGAACAATTTTCATATGCCAGAATGACAATCGTATAAGACAAATCGCAGCGTGTATAAACGTATCTTTATAGTTACTTGTAACGACGTTACTCACAAGACTGCCAAAACGTACAACTGCATGTATTAGTCAATACAAACTAGATTTAAAATTATACTTACTTTTTGGTACAGTAGCTTACAAGTCAGAAGTACAGTGTATATTGTTGTATTAATTTCATTCATAGAAAGGTACTTTTTTATCTTCTAGTTTGTTGAATCTGTGGGATTTTTCCACAGTGGTCAGGATCTTTATGCAAATGAAATTCGACCTGATGAAAGGTAATATTTAAAAAGCCTTACTGTCAAGCTATCGTCCTCCGCAGGTATCTCTAGGGAATCAGGTGGTCGGATAGAATTCTTTTTCCAAACTACTCATTCGCAGGCTAAAACCCATAGAGCTACCTGCGGAGGAGATTGGGGTTCCCACATGAATATGCTTTTGTAGTTTTGATACTTGCGAAATGATGTAATTTTATTTATTAGATCTATACACGTAGCTACATGAATTTTCACGACCTCTACTTTTCTCCTGTGTAGATGGTTGAAAGTTGGTGGTTTTCGAAATGAACATATGTTTGGTAGAGAACAGGTAAATTAGTATAGGTAATACCGTAATAGCATGGTTTCGAGTCCAATTTGGACGAGCGAGTTTTATATTTGCATGGGGTCTTTGAAAAACCCACGTGTGCTTGTTTTATCCAAATTCCACTCAATAACATGCTATTACTTATTAATAATATACTCAGGGGTGTATATTCTTCAATGAACTTTGATTCTTTCCCCCCACCCCTTCTTTTCAGATTTGATTCTTTTCCCCATATCTTTACTACATCAGCCTCAAAGGCCTGTACCTAATAGTAATACTGTGACATAGTATATTTGTCCCCTCCCCAAGATAGAATAAAATACCTAAATTATAAATTACCTAGTTATAAGTTATTATTTACTAAATTTGCAATCCTCAGTAAAGCTTTTCATATTTATTTAAGATACTTTCCATTAACATGAACAATCAACATTAATACAGTAATTAATTCAGCTAAAGAAACTCAGTGGCAAAATCATTTTGGAAAGTGGAAACACTGATTTTCACGAATTACCCATGGAAATTTTTTTCTTCTTTTCCCTCTGCTTTTCCATTTTTTCTACTCTTCTTTGATTTTCTTCCCTAGCCCTAAGACCCTTTGATTCTTTTCCCCCGCCCCAGGGGGGGGGGGGGATTATGGAAGAATATACACCCCTGAATATACTTGAATGTGAAATGCGACTCGTACGCTTCGAACTCACTTAAGACGTTGAAAACGTTTATTGTGTGAAACTGACTCACCTAAAAGTAAAAATTTCCCCCTTGTCAAGTCCGCCAAGAGGAATTTTTTCTTCACTCAAACCATTTATCAAACTTGTCCCCGGGGTCTTCATAATGAAAATGTGTCATATTTGCCATGAAATTTGCACTGCAT